TTTGGAATTTTGAATTTTGAATATGGAGAATGGGAATAAACTTCATTTTATAATTGAAAATGCAAAGAAAGAAATAATAAATCATAAAAATTCCTTAAAATATCTCTTAAAGTCACTAAAAATGTTATAATAAATATGTTGGAAAGAAATAATAAATCATAAAAATTCCTTAAAATATCTCTTAAAGTCACTACAAAATGTATAATTTTGTCAAAATGTTGATATACAATTCAATAAATTATATTAAAGTTTTGTCATTGTCCAATGTGCTCAACTGTAACATACTGATATACAATACAGTCTGTACAATTCCCTTATACTGAGGACAGCAAATACTCAAGGCTTTCCTGTTATTAGAGCCTAAATTTATTTGCCGTGTATGAGCTCCATCCAGAGCCAACAGTTGTAGCACATGCCTTCATTTCCATCACTCAGGAGGCAGAATCAGGTGGACACTGGTGAGAATGAGACCAGCCTGGTCTACATGGCTAGTTCTGGGCCGGCTGGGGCTACAGGGAAACCTTGTCTCAAATAAAATAAAACTAAAACAACATAAACAAGAGGGCACTCTGAAATTCAAGCACAGAAAAATATCTTAGCTGGTTCAATCCTCATCTTTGGGCATGAGGTTTAATACCCTGTCCACATCATATACATTGCGTTTTAAAAGGCCCACATTCTATAATAAAAGCTTTAGGAGAAAAACAATAGTTCACATTATGAAGACTTGAATCTTAATAATCTCACACTGGATCCCAGACTGTCCTTGACTCACTAAGCTACCATGCTGCCTTCCAACTCATGGCAATCCTCCTGCTGGAGCCTGCCGAGTGCTGGGATTACAGGCATGGGCCCTCCTGCCTGGGTAAAACATACTGCTTTTTAACATGCCATGTATGTATGTCAGGAAATAAAGCCAAATGGTTCTGGTCATTGTTTTAGTGTATTTAACCGTCAAAGTTAAGTTAATGGATTCATGAGTATACTTTACATTTTTGTTGTACCTCAAGAAATTAGTGCATCATTACCTCTGAATGGCTTCAATTTTGTCCTTCTCATCATTCGTTGGATCAATGACACCGAGCCACTGATTATAGAGAGGAGATGACATCAAGCTTCCTTGGCTATTTCGAATAAAGTCCTTATATACAAAAAACAGTATT